CCACTCTTGCTCTTTCTGTTTTGTCCATTGTGCTGATAGCGTGGTAAGTTGACAAACAGAGGAAACAACAAGGGCGACTTCTTTAGAAAAAATGGATAAATAAAAGGTGCCGTCTCTCTCACAGGTTCATCCTGGAAAACTCCATTCTTGAAAAATATGTGAGATTCATCTTCAGCATTTACCCCACTGTGATTTGGGCGCTGACAGGGGTGTTGACCAAAAACTACAACACCGCAGCTCCTACCCACAACAACATCTTTATCGGTGAGGATAAACCATCAACCGGTCTCAATGACACTATAGCACTGACTATAAATGATAACTTCATATGTGGATGCACACTGATGCCACGCTCTGATATTTTCTTTCCACTATAGCTGCCCTGCTGGGTGTAGCCTGTGCCCTGTGTGCCACTCGGATATGTTTGGTCATTTGGAGGCAAATGAAAAAGCCGCTTTACGAAGACGTAAACCCTGACAAAATGTCTCCGATGGAGATTTTAGAGAAGCAGAAAAAGATATTTAAGTGAGAGAGCGAGGAAAAGATTTGCAGTATGATTTCTGTATGATATCAGGGCTGTATTGTAAATGACTCCAGCCTCAGCTGAATATCATCAAGCCTCATGAAGTGATATATAAAGCTGAAGGTTCACACCTGTCAAAAAGTATAAACTGCAATAAAGTGTGTATTTCTGATTTCACCACATAAACATGAAAAATGTAGTTATGCTTTCATTTACTTTCCTTTCATAAGCTGTAAAAATAAACTTTAACACTGACTTTAATGGGGTCTTTTTTGAGTTATTTAACAGACAGCACATCTGTTCAATAAGAGAGAAGACAAAGCAATTCAGATTCATTAATAATGACAAGGATGGATGATAAGATTTAAAAAATGTCATTTTAACACATATGATTATGTTTAATACACACACACACACACACACACACACACACAATGGAGCTCTCGAGCTGATTATTGATCAGCCTCATAAAAAAAATCATCTTTATTGCATAAACTAAGAGCACACTGCACTTGTAAGTAAATGCATTACTATTTAGAGCGCTGTGGGAATAAAACCATATAAGTGAATAAAAACGTGAACGGAGTCAACAAATGCACAAATGTAACAAATCTCAGTTGTGTTCAAAGTTTACAATTATGTGTGTTTTCTGCTCCAGTCTGAGTCCGCTGGTTTTGTCACGTACAGTCTTCAGCCTTGAGTCTTCAGAGCCAGCCTCTGTTGGTTGTACACCTTAATAACCTTTTAATGTATTGTATCAACAAGTTGCTGGTGGCAGACTGCATCTGTATCTAGTTGCTGGGTGGATTTGTGTGGCTGCCTCCAAGATCTGTTGTTGTCTGCTTACACAGATATGAGGATTATGCTCTTTACTTAGATTTAAAAAGCTGTACAATTTCATTAAATCTATCTTTTTATCTTGGCTTTGCTCTTTTTTTGTTTTTTCAGATCAATAAAAAGCTTTGTTTAAAAAAAAAAAAGACCTCCACCCACTGATTTCCTTATGCAAGCAATTACCTGTATATTCCACAAACCCTGTTGTCAAGAGTGTGTTCATCATCAGATATGACCTTATACATAACCAGGGATTACTATCATGCCACGCCAACTGATAAAGGACCTTCAAACTCACGAGTTATACAGTATAAAAGTAAATTTGTAATTTCTGAAGGAGGGCTGAGACAAATGGGAAGTGATAACATAATAAAATCATGCTGTAAACTGTAATTCATTAAACACATACATGTATATAAGTGCTTTCAAAATTATTTAATATATGAGTAGATATATTTATCAGCGTTTTATGATTGATTGTTTCAGAAATGTAAAGAGGATAAGAGATGCACGTGATGTCTTGAAGAGTCATATACCTTCTTGCACAACTAGTTGCTCCATATAAAAGTTGGTCCCGTGTCCTCTGCAATTACTCTTGATCTTCACACGGCTTACACAACAAGGAGCAAAGCCAGGTAAGTCTTATTAATCTCATCATGTGGACGCTGTTTTATTAGACCGGACTAAACATGTATGTCGTATGGATAATGCACACAGGAAGCTTTAAAAATTACTATCTGGGCCTCTCTTAAGAAGAGTCAATTTTCTTGTTGTAGTTTTGTTTTATGGTGGCAAACTTTGATAAAAGTTGTAAAAAAGTGCTTCTGATAAATGTCTAAAGATATATTAAGTGGCTTCTGTGTTAATTGTGTGAAAGTGATCGATTGCCACTTCTTCTTGTTCCTGCTTTTGTTTTATAAAATGTTTTTTTCTTCCCATCTTAGAATAAGAGGACCATGATGGGAAAACACAACCCAGGATGTATCGCTGCAGTACTCGTGTCTTTAGCTGCCTTTGTAGTGAGCTTGGTGCTTAATGGGCTGGCTGTAGTTGGAGTTAGTAAGTTGAAACTTTGTTAGCCATTTGTCAGCTGTGTTCAGTATCTTTGATATTTGTGTATGGTAAATGGTAAATGGCCTGTATTTGTATAGCGCTTTACTAGTCCCTAAGGACCCCAAAGCGCTTTACACATCCAGTCATCCACCCATTCACACACACATTCACACACTGGATGTGAAGGATGTGAAAACACACCGCGAACAGTCAATTTCCCTAAAATCTAACCTTTTTCTCCACAAAGGTCCTTTTCACACCACCCAAGCCAATGTCTCAGCTTTGTTTGACACCCAGCTTACGCCTTCAGGATGGACATTTTTCATCTGGACCCTCATCTACATCTGGCTGATCTTCATGATCATCTACATTGTTGCGGGTCTTTTCAGAAAGTTGTGTCCACTTCTTTTTATTTTCTTCTTTAAAACTACAGTGTTATTTTTAAAGCACAGATATAAGATATAATCCAGGTCTCTTCAGTCTATTTTTAAAACCCACTGAAAAACTGTTCCCACAGATTTATTGATCAACTTTTTATCTTCTAGGAATGGATATGGATATGTTTACTGCACTCCTGCAGTACTGCCTTATGGATTCTTTATTAGCTGGTGTCTCAATATGGGCGTCAATATTGGTTGGCTGCTGGTTTGGGACAGAGAGTAAGAGTCTTTGAGTGTCGTGTGTGAGTTAAGCCTGCAGGAATGCATGGCTCTAAAAGATGTAAATGAAAGCTGTTCAACAGATTCATAAAATGTGTTTTTCTGCTGTATCTGTCCTTAAAAAAGACTGATGATTCCTGCACTGGTGTTTCTCATCCTCATCATCTGCACTAACTACTCCATGATATGCTTCATCTGCCATGGGATTCACGTTTATGGAGCTTGGCTCAACAAATACCACAAAGCAGACCTGTGGCTCCTCCGGGTGTTGGTACGTGTGCATTATTAACTGTAAGCTAAGCTTTTAATCTTGCATGTAGATCAAGTTAGCCTGTTGTGGTCAGACATTATTAATATAATGTTTGCTTGGACTCCATGAAAAAATCTGTTTGCAGGTCCAGAATGGTGTCATGATATACACGACTTGGACAACTGTTGCAACCCTCCTCAACCTGACGATTGTTCTGGCTTATGAAGCAGACATGTCCCAAGACGATTCTGCCACACTCTCATACTCTCTTTTGACTATTTTGTTGCTTGGATGGTGAGTGTGCTTCTTAAAAAACCCAGAAAAAAACCCAAACGAGAGCATTGATAGAGCTCAGTTCCCTCCAATTCCCTTTGAAGGGCAACGGCTACACTAAAACTCAGATGCTTTATGCATCAGTATGGAAAGCTAATGTAGTATATTAATTTTTTTGTGATATTTGTCAAATAATGTTTGTTTAAAACAATAATGTTTGAAAGTGTTCAAATAAAGACCACCCTTATTTCCCCCAATGATTAGTATATTTAAAATTTGGAGATGATCCAATGAAAGCTAAAACTTATGGCCTATGACATTGTATGATCTTTAACCATATTACTGGAGTAGAATTGGCTGAACTCTTCTAACATATTAATATATGTTATAATCTAACATATTAAAATTGAGATGCTAAAGCGACGCGTTTTGTGTTTCATAGGTTTGTTTTAGAGAATCTTGTCCTCGACGAGCATGTGCGGTACATCTGCATTACCTACCCCGTTGTGATCTGGGCGTTGTCTGGAAACCTTGACAAAAACTATGATGCTGAATCACCCAGTCGCAATGGCGTCTTCATTGGTAAGACTTCACATAAGCTCTCGGTCATAAATCCCTGCATCCACACTAAACTTTTTAGATAAATACACCCACAAAATGAGCTCTGTGTCACCGCGTGTCACGTGCAAAAGCTGTACTGATTCAATTTTCTTCTCTCAGCTGTGCTGCTGGCTGCAGCCTGTGTGCTGTTTGTGATTCGGGTTAGTTTGGTGGTCTGGAGACACATCAAACAGCCACTCTACGAAGGTGTCGATCCTGAAGCCATGGAACCGATGGAGATCGCTAAGAAGCAGAAAAAGATATTTCACTGAGCAGCTTTATGATAAAAAACAAACCTGATTGTTATTATTACTGAAGGTTTTTCATGTATGATGTCATTGTTTTTCCCATCGTATTGATTTGTATTGTTTTAATGTTTATTGATGTATTAAAATGCACTGGAATTTTTTGAAAATATTGCATTAACAATTTTAACACTGATGTGTAAACATGTAAACACTGAACTTCATAAGACTATTATGTATGACAAATGACTGAATATATATTTATGTTTGTTTTGTATTAGTGCAAACTTACACTCCAAAGCCAAATGTAGTTTTCTTAATATTGACATATTTATTGTGAAATAGACCATACATGATCACAGCTGTTTGTTCAGTGTTAACACCATATAAATGTTGCTACTCCAAAATCAAGGTGTTATAAAATATTATTTCTGATTTAAGATGTGGGCTAAAGATTTTTTTTTTTAATTTTAAGCATCCAGATTTTTTTTTACATTTAAAAAAATATAAGGCTTGTAACATTAGAGAACCGACTTTTACTATATGACTATATCATTTACATTTCTATCAGTGTAAACAAATGTAAATACACACAAAATCCCTGAGATATCTTAATAAAAGAAAAGAAGGAAAATATCAGCTGTAGAGCTCAGTTTTTCTACATGATAAATAAATGTTCCTGAAAGTAAATGAAAAAAATCTGTCAGCATGACTCTTTTGGGCTTAAATTGTAAAAATAAATGTGTAAAATTAGCGAAAAGGTTCTGGCTGCAGATTGCCCAGACTGTCCTGCAATTATAAAACATAAAAAGGTTTTTACTTCACAGAAACTGTGGACCCATTGTAAAAAAACAAACTTCTATAGCAGAAAGTGAAAAAACTGTTATTTTTATGCCATGTAATTGTTTATCTATTACTTAAATACCTTAGTGTATGGCCATGGGAGAGGCCTTTATCAGTAGGAAATGCTGTAAAATTTATGAAAATAGAGTTAAAAGTCCAGACTTTACACCCTCTTTCATCTTTTCCAAAGCCATTCAGTGGGCTGCATTTGAAATCTGGCCCACGGGCCTTATGTTTGACACCCCTGATTTAGAGCATATACTCCACACTGTAAACCCGAATGTTCAAAGTAATTAAATAGATTAAGTAGTGTATACTGAAAGTCTTTAAAAAGTTCTGTTAACTTAAATATGTCAAGTTCGTGTAACATGTTCTTCTTTTTGAGCAAATGAAACTAATAATTTTTGATTGAATTGAACGATTTCTATATTAAGTAAGCATCACTTAAAATCATAACTTAAGCACAACGTAACACAGTTAAGTTAGGACATATAAGAATGGTAAAGTTCTGTTATTTTTGTTGTTTCAAGTAGGTAGGATTTAATAATAAACTTAATTTATGTAGCACATGCTAAAATACAATAAAATCTCAAAGTGTTTCACCAAATAAGTAAAATCAAATAGTCTTAAATGCATTAGTGGAAGACAAAATGTATTTATT